GGAGCGCTCCGCGACAGCCTGACAGAAAAAATAAAAGCATACAGCTACAGATGCTCACAAGATCACTAGTTTAAATCAGGAATAAAAGTGTTGGGTCTTGTTTGACTGAAGTTCAGTCAGGTTCGGCTGCAGCTGCCCCGCTGCCTTTCTGCCTTTTCCCCCCTCCCGCTGTGCAGGACGTACTGCTTGTGTGTGTGTGTGTGTGTGTGTGTGTGTGTGTGTGTGTGTGTGTGGGGAGAGAGGGAGAGAGAGCAGCGCAGCAGTCAGCTCTCCCCACCCAGGTCAACAGACGATCATGCTAAGCTTGCTAACTGTTCCACCTCTGACTGCTGCAGGGGCGTGTCTTAGAGAGAGGCTTTTATACCAGAACACAGCCGCTGTGACGAAACCGTGGAGAAGACACATCACAGCGGAGAGCCGTTATCCAATATGCAAATTAGCCTGCAGTACCACTGCTCTACCCATATGAGCAGCAAAAAGACGTTTTTAGACCAAATATTACAGATTTGGACAAATACACACAAAAACATGAAAATTAGCACAGAAACAGTACTATATYACATTTTAGACACATTCTAGACAGTTTATCAGCTAAAGAAAGTTAATTTTGGGGTAAGTTACTCTTTAAAGACGAACAAATTCACTTTTAATATTTTACATTTGAAAACAATGTTCTGAGAGCGGGGTTTTATTTTTAACAAGTTTCAGGAAGTTTGATATTGATTTAAAGTTCGACCTGAAGGAGCAGCAGCGTATACAATCATTAACCACAGCTGGCCGGCTTGAAGGAGAACAGAAAACTGCTCCACAAAAAAACACCTTCAAGCGGTTCATCTAGCTCGAAGGTCGTTATTTCCTCACCCCCGAGTTCTGTTTTGCAAACAAAAAGAAAATAATGGTCAGATGACCGGATCGGGAGGATTTCACTGGAGCTGGTTTGAAAAGCGTTAAATCACCAGCTGCGCTTTAAGGCACGACGAGTTCCACAGACTGTTTTTGGAACATCTGGAAAGCTGAGCCAGAAATAGTGACGCTCCTTGTAACTGTACTCTGCTGTGTGTTTACACCCCTGAGATTTAAAAAACACAAAAACAAACTACAGAACCAGGTCAAGACTCTGAGCTGGTTCATGTCAGGTGAGAAAAACAGGTTGTTTTTCTTTAAGTGATGATAAAACGAGAAAAACCCGTCAGGTTCACCTGGAGGGAAAGACAGTCTGGTTTTCAGCCCCTGGCCTTGGTGCTGTTCCACGGCTCAGATAAACTATCAGAACTGATAAAGGGACTGCATGGATCCGGTCCAAACTCCCATAAAATACATGCACCTGCAAATAAACTCCACAGAACTCACAGGACCTGGCCTGGTTCTTCAGAACAGGGTTTATGAATGTAAAAAAACTGTAAAATCTGATGTACAACATCATGATGAGGTCTGAGGCTGCAGGACCTGAACCCAGCTCAGGTCTGAGTCTGCAGGACCTGAACCCAGCTCAGGTCTGAGGCTGCAGGACCTGAACCCAGCTCAGGTCTGAGGCTGCAGGACCTGAACCCAGCTCAGGTCTGAGGCTGCAGGACCTGAACCCAGCTCAGGTCTGAGGCTGCAGGACCTGAACCCAGCTCA